GAGAGTGGTGAAGGCAAGTCAGTCAGCCTGGTCCAACTTCCACTATGGCACTCGGGTTGGGTGGTATCTACCACAACGAAACTCCCTCAAAACAATAGGAAAATGATTACTGCCACATGGGTCACTGTTAACACTCCAAGAAAAATGAGAAAAACGTGAAGGGGAACAGATAAATAGATCAATAGCAGTAAAAGACTGACTAGGCACATGAAAATAAGTAAAAGAACCAGTATTGAAGAGAGAAAAGTTGTGATCTGAGAGTGTACATCCCACAGAACAACCTCTCCCATCAATATCAGCATCACCTTAAAGTGGATTGTGTCTATTAAAGTCTCCCAATATGAAAAAGGGAGATGGCAACTGTTCTACAAGACCATCAAAATCTGATTGATCGTAAGTCTCTCCTGGAGATAGGTAGAGAGAACAAACAGTGATGGTACGACCCATGGAGATACAGATGGCTACAGCCTCCAAAGGTGTATCATGTGGCACAGACAAAGTGGGTACATGCTGGTCAACCAGCAGTGCCACATCTCCATGAACTCGTTCATCACACAACCTGTCATTCTGGTATAAAGAAAACTGCCAAAAGGTGATAGTATCAGCAGGTCTCAGGAATGTTTCCTGTAAGGAGACACACACAGGATGATAGGAATTGATCAAAGCCTTAATGTCATCCAAATTAGAATGGAAACCTCAACAGTTCCACTGTATTGAAGTGGCCCTTTTTATTTAGGTACAGTAGAACCCTTCTGTTTATGATCACACCGTTTTTCTTTACTAGAAGGAAGTCTGTCGACTTCACAAGGGCTTCATGAGCACTAAACCCAAACACCAACATTAGAAACAATGTCCACAACACCTGTTGAGAATGCCCAACACTGGTACTTATTTAACCCTAGCCCAACAGGACAAGCTGATTGACCCTGGAGGAGCCACCCGTCTACAGCAATTCAAGGCCAAAGTGGTGTGTTAAAGTGCCACTGACACCCTTCAACCACCAAGATCCTCTCCTCCCCTTCACTGGTTGTGATGCACAGCAAAAATGTGGATGGATATTCAGATCCCAGAGGAGGTACACTGAAAACACAGAACCAGCCCTGGGAAGTCCCCTCACCATGTACAGGAATCCACCTCAAGGGGTGGAAATGAAATCACCCTAAAATTTCTACTATATGAAACTCCCAACCTCCACCCTTAACAAAAAATTAAATAAAATAAAACTAAATGATCTTATTCAGGTTACCGGGATGGAAAAACAAATTTCAAGTAGGTGAGCTTGTCTCGGCTTTCCTATGTTATACTTGAATAATTTTTTAAAAGAAAGGGAAGAGGTTGGGAATGAATGAACTATGTTAGAACTATTAAAGCAGGATTTGTAGTTCTATCTAAGATAAGTTTATTTAATTTCCTTTGTAAGAGCAGAAGTTGGGAGTTTTATATATTTCTACTTTAGGAACTATAAGAGCTTTTAAGGGTAACTGCTTTCCCACAACTGGTTGCAGACATTGAAGGGCAGTAGGAGTTGAGATGTTGAGGGTGCAAGCACACAACTCCATTCCCTTAATTGATTTTCCACGTTTGCTGGCCAGTTTAACATTATGTTCAGATTTTGTCTGATAGATGGGATATCTCCAATGCATTTGGGAGCTAATACCACAGGCATTATCACTATGACATTAAGATGACTGACAATGGAATCTCTACCAAAATCTTTTTTAATATATATTTTATATTGAGTTCTTTATTGTTTTACAATGCTGATTTAATTGCCTATTAACAATTAATGTAATCAGTAGTACTGAAGCTATGTATTTCATTACGCATCATATACACACACATGTATCAGTGCTACAGCAAAATATATCTTTAGTTTATATAATGAGGTGAGATAGCGAATTTATTTATTATTCCTTCTATCGTTTAGTTTATCTTTGAATTTTTAGTTACATTAAAACACTAACTCACCTTCTAGCTGATCACATTTATTTTGAATAACTATGTATACATTTATGAAACTGACACCAGCTTCCCTAGAGGTGATGTACAGATATTATTAATATAGCAACACATTATGTAAATTTATGATCACATGAGATATACTCTCATGACCTAATGGAGTAAATAAATACCCTGCAATCAGCTTCATGAACTCAGTCACAAGATAGTTAGTGAATGATACAGTGAATTATTGTTGTTTGTCACTCAATATCGTTATTAACACAGGAAGGTGATTTTGGAAAATTGTCCTTTTTGGAATTTGGCTTTTTTTTTTCTCATGGTTCTTTTTCCTGATTGATTATTTGAAATAATTAATATCAATATTTATGTTTTATTGTTCATTAAAAGTAGTATCAAGTCCTGGTCAGGCATGTGTTTATTAACTGTGTCTTTGATAAATGCTAAATTTTATTCCAAGTGTTATTACAGTTTAATATTTTTTTGTTGTTGAACTCTGGTTGTAGTAGCATGTTATTTTATACCATTACACTGGCAGGACACAAGAGTATATTTCATGAATATAATGGAAATGAAGTAGTATATAAACATTAGGGTAGTCTATATGTGCAGGCAAAATGTGAGGTTAAAAATTCTAAAGTTATCACCCCTAATTTTTTTCCAATGTACAAAAACATATCAAATGTCAAGTTCATCTATTTTGGACCATATTGAAAGGTTGATCAATGAGGTTTATATTCTAAACTGTAGTGGCCTGGTGCCATATGTACTATGTAATATAAAAAAATATTTGTTATGTATTATAAATGCTTTATTTAAAGTGTATCATTTTATTGCATATATGACAGTATAATTACAAAATAGTATGTATTTGGTATAATTAGTTGCTTTTGCACTGTTATTGTTTCCCATTTGGTGTTAGGATCTTCTATGATCCTGCACAACTTGAGGAAGAAACTGTTTATGTTATTTTTTCTTTGTTGTGATGGCTTTATTCTCATCAATATGGGCCACACCCCTTTCAGCATTTAAGTGAACTGTTTGTAATGCCTCCCTGTAGTCCTCTCTGAACTGTCATGACATAAGGTCATAATCCAGCAATCCAGGTGGAATCTCAAGGCATCTGAAGAAGTATGTTGTGTTCTTCATGATTAAACTTTCAACTGACACATCCTCAGACTTCTGGATATTCATGTGGATGTACCTTGGATGTTCATCCATACCCTCCTTCTAATTTGGTACAATTACTATTACTCATTTTGTCTCTATGGATACAACTGAATCAACAAATCTAAACCAATATGTTCCTCATTGAGATTCCATAGATGTCCAGGAAATTTTTCACAGACAGATTTTTAAAATAACAAAACTCAACTTCTTACACTTAACAAGACATTTAAGGAAGTTAAGATCACAGTGAGGAACAGAAATACTTTTAATTCATTGAATTATAAATAACGAAATTTGTTAAAGCAGACCACACTACATGAATGTTTCCTTGAGAGAAATTGTAATTTCATAGCATATGAAGCATCTCACATGATCATGAGCCAAAGTATTGCTCTAATATACTTTGAAAGACACAGTAAAGAAAAAGAAAATTAAATAGTTAAATTACATAAACTGATGATTGTTTCCAACAGTGTACAAATGATTTGATAGTACAGAATGTGATAAATCTTTCAAAGTTTGGTGTTCAAACCTAATAAGCCATGTGAATAAGTTAAAGAGAGAAATTTCTGAAGAAAAAATGTCTCAACAATCCTAGATACAAAAGGATAGTGTTCCTGATAATTCTGAAATTATTAAAGAAAATTATGGTTTATGATAAACATATTCACCTACATTACATAGGACTGATAATATTTAACCCAGTCATAATTTTGTTGAAATATGATAGCCTTGAATCAAAAACTTGTATATTTTCCGTATTAACAATGCAGTTTTAAATGCAGCCATTCTAATGTTCTCAACTGAAATAACCTAAAAAGTAGACTAGTACTCAAATTTCTTAAATTGTGTTTTTTGTAAAAATATTAAGTTAATATATATATATATATTTTTTTTTAAAAGATGTTTTGGTGGTAAATATAAAAGGTTTATATTTATGCAATGAATTCTGCTGTAGTCATAATGGAAGTTTTTACTACATCAATTAGTGATGATTGAAACAGCTGTCTCCAATTACATGAAAGACAATAAACTGTAATCTTAATTTGTACAGTTATTATATAACTCAAAATGCCTTTGAAATGGTCCTATTAGTTACACAAGTGCATGTAATTATATTTATAATTATTAAATGATATTATACATTTTTGTTGTATTTTCATATTCATAGATTTAGTATTACCAAGGTCATAATAAATATATTACTATAACACTGTTTTAATTTCAAATTAAATTTGATGTAATAGTTATGTTGGTCGTAGTAAATTAATCTTTACTAATTTGTTTACAAAAAAGTATTATAATATTTTAAATTGAATAACTACTCAATCAACAACTACTCAATTCTTCCACTCTGAGTATTTTGTGAAATACTTTTAATTTATTGAATAAGAAATAATTATGTTAATTAAAGTAGACCATGCTACTAAACCCATTATTCTCTTTAGTGCTGTTCTAAAATTGAAGTTTTGCACCTATTCCTAACTACTAGTGGCTCAATTTAAATATAATTTCTGATGGAAGACCTCTTTTACCTCTCTCACAGACAATGAACATCCAGCCACTCATGTTTTATTGCATAAAGTGGAAGATGGTCAGAGCAATACTCTAGATAAGCTCACAAAAAATCTTCAAAGTTGAGTGCTCTTAGCAACAATAATATATGCAATAAAACACTGTTTAGATGTCAAAATGTAAAACTAGATTTCAAGTTGATGTTGAGATGCATCACCAGTTATTAGGATTCTAATCAGTAGTTTTGTCTATATGCACAACCTTACTAATGAGTAGATACATAAAGCTCCAAGATAAACCATATTGTACAGGATATATGATAATTCTAATATATTCATCACAAAATCATTAAATACCTAGCCAAAGAATAGCTTTGTCCACATCAAAAGGATAAACCATTTCTCCATCAACCAGGCCTGGAGTATCAATGAATGTGACTAGACTGAACTTTTTTTGCTTGGATGTCGATACTTCTGTTCCCAGATAATCAACAACTTCTGTGAAAGAAGAGAAAAAACATTATGTCATAATCTTGGAGGAAACCTCAACTAAGCCCCAGAATGTACAGTATTCAGCAAAATCAAATAATTTAATAATCCCTTAATTTTGTGATATTTATACATGTTTAAAATATCAAAATAATAACTACTAAAAACTTGTTTTATAAAGGAACGTTTAGGCTACAAGATACATCTCTGCAAACATGTGTAGTAATTATGATGACAACTACTAAAGCAGAACATACTTAAATTATTTGAGGTTGTGTGCTTACTCAGTCCTAGGTGTTACTTTTTGTAGCAGTGTGGTACTGAGGCATATCATCCATTTTCTACCATATTTTGATGTAGAATTTTTCATACGTTTTCAGTTATTCTAAATCTATGCATCTTTCCCATAACACGTGGTCAAGAAAATCATCTATACTATATTAGTATAGTATACTAATGCACTTTTGAGGATTGGCATATACAAACCAGAACACTGGCAAATCAGTGAGGAGGAAGAGTGGGAAGTGGGTGAGAGGCGGTAAGTACCTATTGGAAATTATAATTTTCCTATACTGAAAATGTATTTCCGATAGGTACTTACCTCCTCTCACAAGATTAGCTACTCTTGTTAATGAACGCCACAAGCTTTGCACTCCTCCACTTGTTGGAATTATTATATTTCAACATATCTCTCATGCAAATCATCATGTATCATCTCTTAACCAATAGTAACAATAGCAATGCATTCGACTCCCTCTATACTCATTTACCAAACCTTCACTTTGAAGTTTGGCAGAAGGTGTGAGAACTAAAGAAGTGAGGAGGAAGGGTGGGAAGTGTGAGAAGAACTAAGTACGTATCAGAAATACATTTTCAGTATAGGAAAATTATAACTTCTGATATGGTATTTACCTATTCTCACATGATTAGCTAGAATCCCATGTTGAAAATAAGGAGGGAGTGGTGCAAAAGAAATACTCTCGAAAGCATCCGAAGGATACCCCTGACTATGAGAGATATAGATCCGAAGATCAGAAGAGGGGAACTGCACCACTTTTGAGGCAGATATACTCTTCACCCCTTGTGTAGATTGTGTAATGCACAAGGGCAGAAATTATGAGGTGTAGAGTGGCTGGGGCACGGCAGACCATACTCGGTAAGTCCTTGAACATCCTTGTGAGGTACTAACATCCATGTGGGGGTTGGATGAGGATCATACCATCTTCACCTCAAATCCAAGAATCGGGGATTAAGACTGATTTCTGGGTATGCCACGAGGATTCTCAGTGTTCTATCAATCCATGAACAGAAATCCAGTATTGAAAGGTTGTCTATCACATGTAATCAACTCCCCCAAATACAGCATAGTCAGCACCATCCAAAGGCAATAATATTGCTGTAAGAAGAGAGATAGTCAAGAAGAGCACCAGAACAATCCCACGTACTACTGCTGTGTCTGAAGACACAGACAGAGCAATTGAGGGAGGAAGATAGACAACCTGTACTCATGGGAAGACTTATGTTGATTGGTTCATTCTAATCCAAAACCTCTACACTGGGAACTCACTTCCACCTAAAGGTAGGATGAGGTCTCCCAATTGAAGGGGTGAACTGCAGTTGCAATGATTCAACTCCAGTGTGTATGTAAAATGTATCAGGAGGCCACGTCATCCATTAAGGTGACAGGTCAACTCCAGTGTTTGTGTAAAAAGAAGAGGGAGGCCACATCATTGTGCAAGGTGATGGCTCAACTCCTTGGTTCTGTAAATAGTAGGAGGAGGCCATGTCAACCAGGAAGGCAATGGCTCAACTCCAGTGATTGTCTCATAGCTATCAATTAACCAGAAGGTGATGGTTCAGCTCCAGTGATTGTGTAAATGTTAGTAGGAGGCCACGTCATCTGTGAAGGTGATGGTTCGACTCAAGTGGTTGTGTAAATGGTAGTAGTAGGCCATGTCATCCAGTAAGGAGATGGCTTAACTCCAGTGTCATTGTATAAACATGATCAGGAGGCCATGTCAACCAGCAGGGCAATGGCTCAACTCCTTTGGAGGCCACGTTGCATCTACACCAGCAGAACACCACTGCCATACTCTCAACTCAATGGTTTGAATTTTTTTACATGTTGAACTCATTCAGGAGGGTGCTTCCTTGGTCAACCACACCAGCAGCTTGGAACTGGAAATGGTAAGGACTCCCATACTCCACTCAAGGAAAGGAGGGTGACAATGCAGTGGAGAGCCCAGAGGAATGTCACCACTGGAGAAGTGTAATGGGTGACAATGAAACCCTATTTTGAAAAGCAGACCATACCTGGTTATTCACTCAAGGCATGGCAGAGATAGGCAGCAATCCCCTTTTGCTTTACACATGCAGTCCATAGGTAATGTGGTCTGAAATGGGCATGTTTATGAAGGAACTTACTGCAA